ACCTTTTATTAGAATTGATAAAAACACGTATTTATTGTGGTGCCTGACTAATTCATGTGATGATTAATCATTTTATCCGACGAGCTGTGGTATAAAAGCCGGAATGTTGGCAGTCACACCTCACAGATGTGCCACTAATTCTTTGGAATCAAGATTGAAAAGTTTTGGAGCAAGTTTTATTCAGTTGTTTGATATTTATACAGTTTGTGAAGATTTGTTCAAAGATTCAAATAAAGTGTTCAAATGCCTCCAACCGGCAATACATAGTTCCCACAGACCAATGAATGTCACATGACCTCCTCGGAGACGCCATCTTTTATGGCACGCTGCTGTGTTTGTGCATTCCATTAAACAGAAGAATGAGAATAAATGTAGATATTCAAACGCAAATTGGAAAAAAAGGGCAACTTTTGAGCAAATAATTGTATATTAATACAATGGCACCACAGTTTAACGTGCTACGGACATGTTTTACATATTTGATCAAATTATGCAGCAAAAATTAACAAGCAATGCAAACATTTCTCAAAAACTTTAGATTTAATACCAGTTGGAGCTCCATTTAATTATTTTAATTATATTAACAATTAATTTAATTAATGCTAATGCCACACGGACACTCTGGATTGCTGTTATTGTTTATTTCCGCGTTTTTGACCGTATGTTTTGGTGAATGGTGGGCAACTGATTTTTCCAGGCGTAAAGAGCAGTTTATTTTATGACACAGATCTTTTTACAGAAGCAATGCTGTTTGTGAACATTGTTTTAGCCCACCACAGAACTATTATTATCTATTTAATACATTTACGTTGCCCTCGAGAGCCTCGGACGCGACACCGATCCTCCTCATAATAAAGTAATCTAACGCTAAATAATGAAACTCTCAAGTTACCAGATATCAGCATACACAAGTTAGTACTGAGTAAATTACGTCTGTCAACACATTATAAGATACGATACGCACCTGACACAAAGTGCTCCGAGCATATTCTTGCGTGTTTTGAGGGAGTTTCTTGCCTGTTTATCTTCGCAAGCCATAACCTCCGTGGTTGTTCTGACAAAAGCTTAGTCTTCTCACATTCATGAAGTCTAATGATGGGTATACTGTAAAATCCAAGTTTAACGGAACCTCCGGCACGATTAGAACATCCATTGACCCAGCAGGAGATGACCATTTTCAACTTTATCACGACATTAACACGTTTCAGCTTCTTTTTCTATTGTTTTGCCCACAGAATGCCAACACAAATGGCGCCGGGTCGGCAAATCCCCGTATGTAGTGACGTCATGTGGGAACTATGTATACAAATAAAAGAGAAGAGGATAAAACAGATATAGTAGATGATAGACAAACATCATGCTTTCAAACTTTGTGGCTTTGTTTTGTGAATGAACAGACAAAAGAGCACTACTTCCTATATCAAAAGACCGTTCTTGCTCCCTGCACGTGTACCTACCAATTAAAATAGGACCCTGCACCACTTACAATGCATTACCTCTGTTCAGGAAATGAGGACAATCACCGTCCATTTATAGACCATGAGTCACTGCTATATTGCCCCTATTCAGACAGTTTTGGCAAAAATGAACAACTATAACATGGTCACCAAATTTGTTCCCATTAAGAGACGCTTTTGTCCCACATTATCCTTTGTCATTGTTCACGAACACTGCTCTTGAGACTATTTTTCAGCCACACTTATAATATTGTTGGCGGCTGTATACTAACAGAATCAGATCATACCATGGCTTGAGCAGAGACTTGTTTGACCAAATCCAGTTTGCCGTACAGTGAAGGGATGTGTAGGTTGGCGCTCTTGATAATTAGCCATGTGTCTTGTGTGGGCATTGTTGGAATAAACAGAAATGATAGTTCTTAGTTTTTCTACTGTAGGTCAAAGCGGACGAAACTGAATGTTTGCTTTTTAGATCACATTAAATCATGAAGTATTGGATCTAACTCAAAGTGCTTAACAAAGCAAGAAAATAAATACAAAATATACAAGGCATTGAAAAAAATAATCACAAGGCATTAAAAAGAGTGAGGACACATCGTTCAGTTGTATGCACAGCTAAACGTAACATTGTTAAACCTGTGTTTGGACATTGTCAGAGTATATGTTCTCTAACAATTTTAGGAAGGCATATCTTATATGAAATGCACCTCCCCATATTTAGCCCTGACCTTGGGCACCAGCAGAAAGCCAGTCCCTGTGCTCCTCCGAGTCCCAGCAGAAGACCAGTCCCAGTGCTCCCAGCAGAAGACCAGTCCAAGTGCTCCTCAGAGTCCCAGCAGAAAGCCAGTCCCTGTGCTCCTCAGAGTCCCAGCAGAAAGCCAGTCCCTGTGCTCCTCCGAGTCCCAGCAGAAGACCAGTCCCAGTGCTCCCAGCAGAAGACCAGTCCCAGTGCTCCTCAGAGTCCCAGCAGAAAGCCAGTCCCTGTGCTCCTCAGAGTCCCAGCAGAAGACCAGTCCCAGTGCTCCTCAGAGTCCCAGCAGAAGACCAGTTCCAGTGCTCCTCAGAGTCCCAGCAGAAGACCAGTCCCAGTGCTCCTCGGAGTCCCAACAGAAGACCAGACCCTGTGCTCCTCAGAGTCCCAACAGAAGACCAGACCCTGTGCTCCTCATTGTCAGAGTTGGTGCATATGGCCTTCAAATGTCATGAATGTAGTGGTACATGGAGCACCGATACATATGAGCGAGTGTTGACTGTATTGCTAAAAAAAAGCTCTCTTCCTTGATATGACGATGTGATTAAGCCCTTGCCTTTTCATGGCTTTTCATCCCGTCACAAAAGGCCAAACGATAAGGTGGTCAGTTTGTCATTAGCAGAAGTATTGACATGTTGATTGTGGGCCTAATCAGCTCCTCTTGTCTCACAGCCCATCAGCGTCAGCCGTGATTCACTGCTGTTTATTTCATACAACTGTGTTTATCTTGTCAAAGATGATGATGGGAGAATTTGGTAATTCCTTCTTTTTTGTCAGACGCTACTTTATGCCAACATATTGTGTAAGGACTCTTCTGTTCTGGCTGCATTGTTGGTTGAATATGGCAACTGTCACACGCTGTCAAAATGCCACGCAGCCATAAGAGACAGAAGCAGCATCCTCCCAACACAACTCTCTACGCATCGAAGAGGAGAGACCAGAACTGAAGTGAACATCAGGAATTTGTAATACTGTATGTCCTATTTGATGGATATATGATGAGTATTCTTAATACTGTACATACAGACTGTAAATTGAATAAATATTTATACACTTTTTTTTGAAAATATAAACATGTCCACACCCACAAAACCTATTGCTGCTGTACAGCTGGACTGGACTGATGTGAATCGTTTGAACTCCCTGCTGCACTTGGGCGGCACAGTGGCTGAGTGGATAACACTCTTGCTTCTCAGCATGAAGGTCTTGGGTTCGAATCCCGGTCGGAACAGGGCCTTTCTTAGTTTAGTTTGCATGTTCTCCCCGTGTCTACTCAGGTTTCCTCCGGGTGCTCCGGTTTCCCCTACTACTAAAAACGTGTACACTAAGTATGAATGTAAACGAGAGAGTGAATGGATGGTGTTGATTGGAGCTGATGGTCCAGTGTGTTCGGCGACTCGCTTCCGTCCTCACCGTGTGTGGAATAATTGGAACAATATCTGAACTCTGAACATTGTAAAGCGCTTTGGGTGACCTTGGTCTGTAAAATGTGCTATATAAATAAACATTACTTACTTACTTGTACATCTCCTTATCCATGGTTTTAAGCAGCAATGGACTTCCATCACGGCAGCAATTCAAAATCATATCGCATTGCTCGAATACGGGGAGAGGTCCTTTTATAATTCTTCAAATCTGCATTGAATTAAAACACAAAATGCACTTGAATCTTCAATTTAAACTGATTTGAAAATATCCTTAGTTAATACTATCACACTATATTAAATTGTGTATTCTTTGCAATTTTTTACGTGGAGAAAAATTATATATTTTAGTGCATTTAACCTTGTAGTGTAGCTGTAAGAGTGGGCAGCATGGTGCATTAACTTTTGATCATGCTTGTGTCAGCAGTGCTCCAGGCTCAATTGTTTTGTCAGTTTTCTAGTCCAAGGCAGAGCAAACTTTCCTTTAATTGATCCTATTGCACATGTACCTATAGACATCATTAGACGATGTTCCTTTTGATTTGAACTGAAATGATCTTTGATCAATACTATGGATTTATGCTTTATATTCAAATGTATTTTTGATCAGTGAGTAACAAGCAGGTTTCAGTACGACATGATACAAGAACAATCAAAAAGGACTTATGAATTCCTACCTATCATAACATTTTCCAGCGCACTCTTCTACAATAGCTGTGCCTATTTGAACAACTTTTGAAACTTTGTTGAAATGGTTCCATAAATGATTCCTGCATTGTGTGAGATTTTTTTTAAAGAAGTTCCTTTCTAAAGTTATAATTCCTAAATCCTAATACTAAATCACATCTGTGTGGTCTGTGTATCTGACTTGGTAGAAGTAATCAGAAGTCACTTTGGAGGTGGAATGTCCTCACACTTGGTCTTGATAGTTCAAATCAATAAACAACATGATATCTAGGCTTGATAGTCGTCTGCCTTGCCCAGTACAATTATTTCTCTGGCAACGTTTTATTAGAAATTTGCTACAGTATATGAACTTCCCAGCTCACCTTTTTATATGGCGTCACAAGCAGAATTTTTTTTATAAAACTTCCTTTTTCAATTTCTAGTTTATATTTGCAGATGCAATTTTACGTATCTATTTCCAAAAATGATACATTTTATATCCAAATGCATTCGGCCTCATAAAATGTATAACAAACCATGTTTCACTTTCCCATTTCAGTTGCTGCCTGCTGAACATGTTTTTGTTGTTATCAACTGCAAATAGATTTTTTTGTTTGGTTTTGGGGAAAGCAGACAAATAACAAGTGTTTTACTGGATATTGAGATGTATCAACACTATAATAACCTCCACTCTGCACACTGATGCTGTTGGTATACAGTGGCAGTACCCCACTCACGTGGTCATATACCTGCATGTGAAAGCCAAGTTAAGTTGGGCAGGGCCTGGCTAGTATTGTGATGGGAGACGCTAATTCACTATTCAACTACTGTAGTTTAAAGGTGATGAAAAATAGCTAAATATAAATAAGCCATTAGATTTATCAATTTTTTTTTTTTTTTTTTTTTTTTTTTTTTTTTAAATTCTTTATTTGAATTGGGACAGTGCACATTAATCAACATGTGTTTTTTCAACATGTAAATGCGCCGGAGTTAGCCATATAGGCTAATTTTCATCCGTAGTCCCATGGCAGGTTGATGTCAAGATAGGTAGTATAGGACATACAACAGGCACAAACATACAGCAGAAACACCATCACAGAGACATAAAAAGACAGTGAAAGAAGAATACAACATATAGTTAAAAATGCAAGGAATATATAAGAATTTGTTCAACTAAAAATTCAGAAAGGGACAATATACACAACACCAAAATCCTCCACAGCAAGACATGTATCAGTGTTTGGTGACTTTAGTTCATGTTGTGTTCACATGTCTGATTGTCCAAAAGCCACTTCTTCACAGAGTTCCTAAAAATGTGAAATGAGGTCAGGTTCCTCAATTCTGTTGGAATCAAGTTCCAGGAATGTGCTGCGCGTACTGAGTAGGCAGATTGTCCAAATGAAGTTTTTCTAAATGGGATTCTACAGTCTCCTCTGCTTGATGAGCGCGTGTTTGTATTTACATTCAGCTGTATAAACTCCTGTAATGGAGGCGGTGCAAGTCCATTTAGGGTTTTATAGACCATAATTACATCAGAGTACATTATCAACTGATCCCACTTTAAGAAATTATGTTTGGTAAAAACTTTACAGTGGTGATATGAATTATTCTTTTTGTCTAATGTTTTTACTGTCTGCTTATAAAGTCTTTCTATGGGCAACAGTGTAGTCTTGTTGGCCTGAGACCAACTCGTCATACAGTAATTAATATGCGAGAGAATTGTGGCGTTTAGGTATAATTTTGAAACATCAGTTGTTAAGTTATTTCTAATGTGTTTAAAATTCACTAAATTGAATTTAATTTTGTTCCTCAATTTCTTAACATGTTTTATGTGTTAAGGGACAGTAAATCACAACATAAACATGTAAATTTGGTGCTGCATGTTGTGAAATGCTGTGATAAGTGGAAGTTTAAAGGTGTGTCACTGAATAAACAAAAAAAAAACATTTGATTTAACAAGTGACATCTAACAAACTGAAATGAATCAAGTTGCTTCGCTCTAAATCTGTTGACTGTTTTACAGATGATGCCGGTCCAGTCTTCGATTTGAACCAACTCAATCTCGAACTGCCGTCACCCCCTCTCCATCTGTCTGCACGAACTCTTTCCTATCTACTTCTGTTCTGCACACTCATGGCTTCTGCTCACTGCTGCTATATGACTGTTTGTCCAAAAATACTTGCCCTGGTGCAGACGGAGCCACAAACATAGAAATAATAGATGACATATTGATTATTAAGATGGAATAAAGTGGAAACAGATTCTTATATTCTTTGTTGTTACGCGAGACACGGGTGGTGGCAGGTTTAGTCTGCCCCAGGGCAGCTTTGGCTTTATTAGCTCACACTAACTTGATTAGCATAATAATAATTATCATCGTTCATTAGAGTCATTGTGACCTTGTGTAAAACACTTTACAGAAACATTTAATAATAACTAATATATGACTATAATTTGACACAAAGCCATTTTGTAAATGGATTGTAAGACTCTGCTCTCTGCAGCTGACGCTCTGCTCTCTGCACCTGACGCTCTGCTCTCTGCACCTGACGCTCTGCTCTCTGCACCTGACGCTCTGCTCTCTGCACCTGACGCTCTGCTCTCTGCACCTGACGCTCTGCTCTCTGCACCTGACGCTCTGCTCTCTGCACCTGACGCTCTGCTCTCTGCACCTGACGCTCTGCTCTCTGCACCTGACGCTCTGCTCTCTGCACCTGACGCTCTGCTCTCTGCACCTGACGCTCTGCTCTCTGCACCTGATGCTCTGCTCTCTGCACCTGACACTCTGCTCTCTGCACCTGACGCTCTGCTCTCTGCACCTGACGCCCTGCTCTCTGCACCTGACGCTCTGCTCTCTGCACCTGACGCTCTGCTCTCTGCACCTGACGCTCTGCTCTCTGCACCTGACACTCTGCTCTCTGCACCTGACGCTCTGCTCTCTGCACCTGCTCTCTGCACCTGACACTCTGCTCTCTGCACCTGCTCTCTGCTCTCTGCACCTGATGCTCTGCTCTTTGCTCTCTGCACCTGACACTCTGCTCTCTGCAGCTGACGCTCTGCTCTCTGCACCTGATGCTCTGCTCTCTGCACCTGCTCTCTGCACCTGACACTCTGCTCTCTGCACCTGCTCTCTGCTCTCTGCACCTGATGCTCTGCTCTTTGCTCTCTGCACCTGACACTCTGCTCTCTGCACCTGATGCTCTGCTCTCTGCACCTGCTCTCTGCTCTCTGCACCTGATGCTCTGCTCTTTGCTCTCTGCACCTGACACTCTGCTCTCTGCAGCTGACGCTCTGCTCTCTGCAGCTGACGCTCTGCTCTCTGCACCTGATGCTCTGCTCTCTGCACCTGCTCTCTGCACCTGACACTCTGCTCTCTGCTCTCTGCAGCTGACGCTCTGCTCTCTGCACCTGACGCTCTGCTAAGACTATTGGTCCTCCTAATTGTCAATCATTCTGGTGAAAAGGGACTATAGAGGCCATCGTACGTTATAGAAGGTTTTCCCTCTGGAGAGGGCGGTTCTTTCCTAAATTTCGGGAAAATCCTGCTATATAGTATAAAAAGTTTGCTGCAGTTTGACGAATAATGTAACTGAACTATTGCCTCTTACAGCCTCAAAACTTTATTTGACCCAAATGAGCAGGTTTGTTCCATGTCGGACTAGGGAAAATGTAGTGGGCCTAAACCTCACTGACATTTGGTTTGACATTTCTGTACTCTTCTTCTCCATATAAAATCCAGCACAGCCCTTTGCAAGTAATGAGCTTGGAAATCAATAGGTTGCGGCGGGCTTTCGCTCTCCCATTACATGAGCACTACAGGGCAGAAAAAGCTAAAATGGACAAAAGGGAGAAGCAATTTTCTTAGTGATGCTCGATCAATTTCTGCTGATATGGTCCTTAATCCCTGTGTCTATAATGGGTATGTTGGGTATACCATTACAGCTCATTGTGGCCGTTTCCTGGTTCATGACAAACCTCTGCTGTGCTGGGGGTTAGGAGGAAACAAGTTATATTTTATATATATATATACAGATTGGAGTATGTACGTATATATATACTCCAATCTGGATTCTCGATGGACCTTAAACTGTGTAGGTAATAATACATTTCAGTTAGTCACCGACACATGCTGACACATCTTCCTTTCCGGAAAAAACAGACCATTCATTTTGTTATTAGGATTCATCATATTCGCCGTTCTCTGGATGTGCACGAAAAGATCAAAATGAACGATGAATAAGGTACGTGGTCTGTTTACGCGAGGGAACGTGAGGTGCACTGATTAACAATAATGACTGCAATGAATGATCAACTCACACATGTTGAAAGTACTGAATGCTCACATAGTTCTGAGCATGATTTGGACATAGAGAAGAATTTCACCAGCAACCAAACTATGCTTGCAAATATTACACTGATTCTGAATTTAACGACGAGGTTAAAGCGGACGAAACATTTACGTTCATTTCAACTCCCGGAGCATGTATTCAAATTCTGTTGAAATTCAGTACTATTTAAACACATAAAATAATAGATTTACGGTGGTTGCCTTAACTGAGACGTGGTTAACAGAGGATAAAGGTGTTGCTTTATTTGTTTGTAGTGATTTGAAATGCAAACGTGTTGAACGCATGACAACTGCAATAAATGATTTAATGGAATATTTAACCGTTGAAATTGAAATGGAGAACAAATTAAATATAGTAGTTTCATGTATCTACAGAACGCCAGGCTGTATAAAAACATTTATTGATAAACTGGAAGAAAATATTTTTTGTTTTGGATGAAAATAAAAAATCTATATTTGTGGAGACTTTGTGGATATTAATTGGCTGAATTTGTCTAGTGATGTCAATAGTTCCAATTTTCTGGATGTCATGTACAGTAAAGGCCTGTATCCAGCCATCACAAAGCCCACTCAAGTCACCCCTAGTTGTGCTACTTTTATTGTTAATGTTTTCTTAAATGTGGGCTTGCTAGAAAATTCAGTTAAGAGTGTATTCTGGTAAATGACACAACTGATCATCTTCCTGTATTTATAATTTATTCATGTGAAGTGAAAAAGAATGAGAAAAAAAAAAGCCCATAGTTCTTAGAATAAGAAATGAGAAAACATTAAGGAAATTTTGTGATGATCTCTTAAAAGAACAATGGGAAAGTGTTTATAAAGCTAACGGGGCAAACGAGGCATACAACTAATTTCTTGAAACTAACCCAAAAAAATGTTTGAAGAAAAACCAAAACATGATGAGAAGCCCTGGTTAACAAGGGGGATATTAAGAGCATGCAAAAAGAAAAACAAACTCTACAGATTCCTTAAAATTGAGAACACAAAATGCGTATAAAAGATACAAAGATTATAAAAACAAATTGACCAGTATCAAGCAAGAAAAGATTATTATTCAAATATGTTTTCAGACAATAAAAGTAATGTCAAAGAAATGTGGAAAGTTCTACACCAAGTTATAGGCAATAAAGTTATTCACCGTTATACCCAACGGTTACCCACCCTTCTTGGTAAATGAACAGGGCAGACAGATAGATCCCGCAGAAATGGCAGATGCATTGAATTCTTTTTTTGTTAATGTTGGGTCTAACCTGGCCAGATCAATTCAAATGACAAATCACAATGAAGATAATTGGAATCATGAAAACAAAGTTTTGCAATCCTTATACCTAGATGAAGTCAGTGAAACTGACATTATTGCCTGCATCTCTATAGTGAAAAATAAAAAATCATGTGATAGTAATGGTTTAGATATGTTCATCGTAAAAACATCTATTGATTGCATCTGCAAACCATTGAAACATATTATTAATCTTTCTTTTAACACTGGTGTTTTTCCAGACAAAATTAAGGTAGCGAAAATAATCCCCATCTTCAAATCGGGTGACAAGCACAGTCTGACGAACTATCGACCTATATCGTTGCTCTCCCAATTTCCCAAAAAACTAGAGAAGCTTTTTATCGATAGATTTTGACGTTTTTTGTTTATTGAAAGATTTGTTTCTGTTAATTGACAGTCAATATGGCTTTAGGAGTAATAGGTCAGCCCTTGCACTCATGAAAATAACAGAGGACATCACAACTGAATTGGATAACAAAAATCACACAATCGGAGTCTCTATCGATCTGAAAAAGGCTTTCGATGTTGGCCATTACATTCTTCTCAATAAGTTACAGTCTTATGGAATCAGAGGTGTCGTGTTGCAGTGGGTTGCCAGTTACTTGGAAAATCGTCAGCAGTATGTAGATTTTGCAGGACGATTATCAAAGAGTCAGCAGATTAATTGTGGTGTACCACAAGGGTCCGTTTTGGGGCCAAAATGTTTAATTTTATATATTAATGACCTTTGTGATGTGTCTAAAATATTAAGTTTTGCACTATTGGCAGATGACACAATTTATTTTGTTCTGGGACAAATATAAGTACTTTAATTAATACTATTGAAAAAGAAATGGTTCTACTTCAAAAATGGTTCAGTGCCAACAAACTCTCCTTAAATGTAAGCAAAACCAAGTTCATGTTGTTTACCAATCAAAAAAGTGTGGAAGATATTGAATTATATTTTAGTGATGTTAAAATCGAAAGGGTTTCCGAAATCCATTTTTTAGGAGTCATTATTGATGAAACCTAAAATGGAAGCAACACATTGCTTCAACAAAAAAGAAAATCTGTAAGAATCTTGGCATATTGAGCAAAGTAAAGTATCTGTTAAACGACAAGGCAATGGGAACTCTATACTGTTCTTTGATCCTCCCGTATTATATGTATAGTCTGGACGTCTGGGGCAACTCCTGCAACACTCATTTAATACCTTTAGTCATTCTACAAAAAAGAGCTTAACGAATAATACACAAAACTGTGCTCTAAGAGAACACACAACTGAACTATTTTGGAAGTCAGGACTGTTAAAAATGAAAGATTGAATTGTATTATAGACATTATTGATTATGTTCAGAGCACGAAATTATTTATTGCCCTGTGGTCTTCAAATGTTCTTCTCAGTAAACGATGAAATCAGCAGAAGGAATCTGGATTTTAAAATACCTTTTGCAAGAACAACACTCAAACAAATGTCCATCTCATGTGCTGGTGTACATGGAACTCTGTGGACAATGAATTTAAAACATGTTCAAATATATTACAATTTAAGTTTAAATGTAAACAATAATTGATCCAATCCTATGTTAAATGAAAAGAGAAATAGTATTGTATTTGTATTAGTTGTATTTGTTGTATTTTGACATGAAACCATCTATGTTTGTTGTCTTACTGTCATAAGATTGGGGTAGTGGTTTAAATAAGACTTGGTCTTCATCTAAACTTTCCACCTCATTTCCACCGCTAATGGGGCATATCAATGGCGAGGAGAGACAACCCAATTTGAGCTGTAAAAACATCTGTAACTGTCCTGTAACATCTGTGTAACATTTGCTCTTATGAAGCACATTGAGATGCAATTTTCGGTATGTAATGTGCGATATAAAAAAATATATCATCTTGTTGTAACTGAACAATGTTGCCCTATGTGTTTGATAGCAAAAAAACAACATCTCCGTGGCAACAAGTGAGTAGCCGACCCGGTAGAACAGTTACACGATACACTTTAAAAGTTCAAAAATAGAGAGACAGATTTAGACGTTTTTTTTTTTTTTTTTAAGCATGACATTAAGCAGTCAACGAAGCTGTCATGTCCACTGCAGACATTCACTGTAGAACCTGTGGGCAGTAATTGGAAGCATATGTAGCGTTTGATTCTGACCATTTGCTGCTGAAGGTGCAGTGAAAACCTGAGGTGCCATAGTTCAAGTCGTGGGCCTCATTAAAAAGGCAGCGCAGGCATCCAATTAAAGGGGATCCTCTGTCATAATCGTGCGACTCCATGTCAAAGAGAGCAGAAAGATAGTGTCAATATGTCGGAGTGAAACAGCATTGGGTTTTAATACTCTACGGACGGATCTACTGTTACTCCAATGGGAAATGACTAGTAAGGTGTATTAATGCTAGCCTTCTGTCTTCTTCAAAGTGGTCAGAGCGGCAACGTGATGTACCTGTGCCGTGTCTTGTCAGATGTTTTACACAGTTTCCTGTCACGGTTGACAGGACACAGTAACATCACGTGACCAACTCTGAGGAAGACAGTAAGCCAGCCGTCGAAACCGTCAGGTTCGAAAAAACACTCTGGTCTTACAGAGAGAATCAACTTGTAGACTGTCATTGGACTAACGTTCTAATGTGGAATTGAGCAAATGAAAATGACATTAAGAAATAATAACAATACTCAAACCAGAAACACCTGTGACAGATGAGTGGGTTGACTTGTTGTTTGAAATGTTTTTAATGGAAAAGATTACTTTTAAACTCTGATTGCAGACAGACTTATTTGGCTTTACTCGTCCAAATGGTGGATTTTCATACAAGCTGTAAGAACAGATTTTGTATAATGCCCTTTGTACCCCCAGTGTTTGTTTTGTTCTTGTTTTATTTGTATGTGACAAAACCCAATAAAAATAATAACAGCAATACAGTAACTATTGTGTATGTTACTAATTCAACTCTGCAGTCCTTTTCTTTGTGGTGTTAAAATAGCTACATACGGTTTTATATTCGATAAATACTTTTAGCTGTGAAGCAGAGACTATGTGGGAGTGGTTTGAAATGAACTGGTAACACAGTTTGTAGGATTCATGCAGCTTCAAATATGTTGCAGATTGTGGTGTAAGCCCTGTTGATTCCCGGTCGGAACAGGGTCTTTCTGAGTGCAGTTGCATGTTCTCCCCGTGTCTGTGTAGGTTTCCTCTAGATGCTCTGGTTTCCCCTACCACTAAAAACATGTACAATAGGAAAAATCCTTCAGCTGCGGTAGTCCTGGCCACGCCAAGCATCAACATCAGATCCCGGGCGCTGAACTACGGCGACAACTGCTCCTGACGGAAACCTTGGCAGCATCAGGATGGGTCAAATGCAGAGGATGAATTGCCCTACGGAGATATATAAATCTGCTTATATGAATACTTTCCTGTCATCATACTTCAATTTAAATGTCTTCTTAAATGCTTCAAACCCAGGAAAAACACTTTTGTCTGTAAGCCAACTGTAGGTGCAGGGGATGAAACCTGCAAATCTCTGTGCAATGTCATGTATAATACTATAATACAATTTCATGAGACAAGTTTAAGCACAAATAATGCGAACATTTGATACAATTTTTGACTATCCTGATGTGCCGCCCCACGTCACTTTCCTAATGGTGTGGTAATAGTTTCCCTCCGACTGTATATTCTTTGCAGAGGATTGGCATTCTCTGGTCTAATTTAAATAAGGGTTTCTTGCTTGAGTCCTCTTAAAGCAGCAATTATAGATGTATACACCCAGGACAGATTCCAATCCACTGGGCCCCTCTTCAGTCTGATGAGCACCAACACTTTTCATCATATTAATTTGGATTTGTAGCCTAAAAAAAAAATGTTCTGCCGGTGAAACTAGTGGTAGGGTGAGAGTGTCGTATTGTTGGGCCATTAAAATGTAGATTGGTCCAAATAACTCCTACGAGATGGCTGCTCAAACCATGACAAATCCACCTCCAGCTTTTACACCTGGCAAATCGGCTTCAGGCTCTTTCACAAAACAAACAAAATGTGTTTCATTTCACCTTTGTACATTTCTGATTGTTGGATCCTGATCAGAGAAAATGTCAAATAAAATAAGATATTTTAGAAAGAGAGGTTTTTGTTTGTTTTGTGTCTAAAACCTCTGATAGCAAAGTGTTTACCAAGTTGTTTTTTATAGACCTAAAAATGATTACGGTAAAATAAAATAAAAACAGACATAAAAGCCACAGACAAAACATGTGACAGAGCAAAAATAAAGGTTAACAAACTAATCACTTATCTATATTTATTTTTTCTTTTAAGATTTTTTTTTTTGACGTATACATACATTGGCTCAACTCATTCCACAATAATGAAAATAAATTAGCACGGGAGATGAAGACTCAGTGTTAATATTGGAACGGACATACAAATAATTTCTATTACCAGATTTACCCATGATTAGAACAATAGCACATATAAGTAATGTCATATTTAGCAATTTAGCTGGATGGTGCTGGATGGTTGAGACACTTTTGCCCTGACCCTAACCATATTCTAACATACAGATAATGTGACAATAACAAATAAATGGGTAAATGAGAGAGTAGTAAAGTTGGAATGACAGAATAAGGGCCCACCATGCAGGGAAAAAACAAACAAATTAAAGTTGAATAAAAACTTTTGATTTAACTTAATACCTGTGTACTTAATAACCTGTGATGAACTTTTTGAGTGTGTAATATGTGTTAGATCAAAATAGAAACGATAAGAAAACCTATTTGTCCCATGTTGGTGAATTGTCAGTGTTTTTACATGTTGTTGGATATTTACTGAACAGTGAGATAAAGATATCAGAGAATAAGTCCAATAAGAATCCCCAGGCAACAGAATAGCTTGAATCCTCTGTCATAAATTGAGCACGTGAAATGCAGCCGTGTGACGTTTGCTTCAAAAGTCAATGAGGCGGGAGGGAGCGCATATCCAACACTTTGTGGAGAGGAGGACTGTTGCTTCAGTAGTGCGCACTGCTGGGTAGGGTAGATACATTTCTGGAAGGTTAGACAACATTCTCATTGGCTCAGAAGTCATAGACCTCATTATATAAAGCGAGGGTGCCTCGTCTACCGGGCAACAGCCTTTTAACCGGAGTCAAACGAGCGGCAAAAGACTTTTTACGCACAGCGCACTTGGAGAGGAGCGCGCAGGCAGCTTGACAATCAACAGGTTTGTGTTCCAACTGGCAGATCGGATTATCCGATGGTTGTTTGATGTTTTAATGATTGTGTTTCATCTAAAAAAGTTAATTCTGGTTAATTGGTTTCGACTACAATGGTGGTACGTCATAGCCCGATTTAGAAAATGAACCTATTGGGTTATTTTGTCGGGGAGTGTGAACTATACAACTCGGGAAGATTAGAATGTTGTCCAAAGGTCCAGTTACATGTGATTCAACTTACAATGTAAAATATGACAGGCTACACGCCAAGTGAGGTAGATTACGCCTTTATTTGTTATGATTTCAACGATTAGGGCGCACAGCTTGTCAACAGATCTCCGAAAATTTGAATTTTTTGAAAACTGTTTGAAAACATAATCATCAGAAATGATAACGAACAAAGACATTGATTTATCATATACCATTGATTAGTTTCTTGGATACAAACAACACTGTATCTTAAAGATAAAGCCTTTGGCTGTACCTGCTGCATATATGTCCTTTTTATTTTATTTCAAAATTTGTTTGTCTCTTAAATTACACATTGTCTCCATATTAGCCCCTGTTACTCTGTACTTTTTCTGAGGAAACTGCAAAAAAAAACTTCCAACTCAGTTGTGCCAAAATATTTCTCTGTCTGATTCATCAGTATAATTTACACTGTGTCGGTTTGCTGCATTACAGTTTGCATCCAGAGTTTACTTGTCAAAATAAGAACAATTATCCATTTAAAAACTTGTTTGAAAGGCTTTGATATAATTTCTTTATTGGTTAGATAGGCCTGTAAGACATGTTGTGACTTTTGCTTGTTTTCTTTCCATGACAGTGTGGCTGAGTGGCATGTGGCTCTTGGAGAAGCTGCGTAGCTCTGTGGAGAGAGGTGGGGCTCAGCAGACCCCCCAGACCACAGAGGCCATTCCTGTCGCTGTTTATGCCAATGTCCTTACTCCAGAGAAGATCCCAGACTTCTTCATTCCTCCTAAACTCATTTGCTGCCCCCCAGAGGAGTCCCATAGCCCTGAGCCTCAGCGCTGCTCCACTCTGAGACCCTCTTCCTCAGATCATGCCATCTGCAGCCAGAGCCCCAGAGCCCGAAGCAGTCCCCGTCTTTTTGGTCGCAGCCTCCAGAAATCTGCCAACCGCCACATCATCCAGATAGAGAGTGCAGATGAGCCTGCTGCTGATCAGACATCCACACAGCACAACACAAATGCAGACCCCCAGTCCCAGAATGCCATGTCCCTGCCTTACGTCCCCAAAGCCCAGACCTCCTACGGCTTTTCTACCCTGGTGGAGTCCCCTCACACTCGGAGGAAAGAAAGCTTGTTCCACAGTGACCCCAACAGTCCCCTGACCTCCCCCAACTCCCAGAGGCGCTCTCAGGGTGGGACACTGCTGACCCCCGCTGACTCCAACTCATACAGGTACTTCAGTGGAGGAGAGAGTGACACCTGCTCCTCTGCTGAATCCTCACCCTTCAACTCTCCTCTGCTGTCCCGGTCTGCCTCTTTACTGCGCTCTATCACGCAGGAGACACAAGCCAAGGTGAGGGGCTGTCTCCAAGGTGATGCTGATGCTGTGTGTTGGAAAGTACTACTAAAATGTTGTGTTTGTCTTGAAGGTTTTTTAATTTTATTTTTGTATTGAAGTATAATAAAATCGTGCAGATCTCTCACAAACAAACTAAAATAGATAATAATAATGTACCACAGAATGATAACATAAGACCAGTGTGAGTGGGAGGGGGTGGGGGGCTGGCATGTTATGAAAGAAAAAAATCTACAATAAACATAGTACCAACGATAAACAAAAAAATAAAAAAATAAACATATAGGATGGAGAATGTTTCAAAAAGTGTGATGATTATTCTGGCTTTTGGGTGATTTGAAGTATATATATGGATTAAATTTACTTTGAAATCTGTTGAAGAGGGGTTTTCTAATGAAATACTTTGAGTTATATGTGGAATTTTGAACTGTTGTTTGTCTTGAAGGTGTCTCGTGCCAAGCGGTCCCTGGCGCGTCACAGTTCCTTGTCCACGGATGAGTGCAGCTCCGCCGACAACAGCCCCAACATGCAGAGGCGTCGCACCCGCTGCCCGCCGTCCCCCGCCTTCAGGGGATCCAAAGGCAGGGGCCCGAGAGGAGGGGGGTCGAGAGGCACCGCTGCGGACCTCTTACAGCGAGAACACAGCATTAACCTGCACAAGGGGGGCACGCTCCGCCTCAGCACCCACTATGACCCTGAGGCGTCCAGGCTGAGGGTGCGAGTCCTGACCGCAGAGGCATTATACAACAGGGAGACTGATGTTAAAAGTATCAACTGCTGCGTGGCACTGTATCTGAACCCGGGAAAGCAGCAGAAGCAGAGGAGCACTATCATCAAAAACAGCAGGAACCCCTTGTTTAATGAAGACTTCTTTTTTGATTCGCTTCCACAAGCTCAGATCAAAAACCTGGCTATGAAGGTGAAGGTAGTCAACAAAGGCACCAGTCTGAAGAGGGATGTGCTTTTAGGAGAGAGGGAGGTGTTGCTGAGTGAGCTGCTGGCTGGGCTCTAGGGGATTACCTGTCAAGCCAAGACGACTGAAATGCCCTTTTACTCTCGAGCTGCCTTTTCATCCACTTCACAAGTTTAATATTGTGATGAAAAAAGTTTCCAGCATTCACTTTTCCTTAAGACAGGAGACCACTGCTGCTTATTGTTAAAGTTGTTGCTTTGATTGCATTCCATAAAAACAAAAAAATTCTGTGCTCAAGGCATAGTTATGCTGCCGTGTACATTTGTACCAAAAGTAATGTTGGTTTTTTGCACGTATGTTTTAAAATCAGAAAGCCTCCTCGTACTTGAAGAGTTATTACGTTTTGACTGGAATTTAATTATTGTTGTAATTGTTTGTCAATAAAAATTGTATCCTGCAAAATTTGTTCTTTCAAAACAATTTAACTAAACTATTCATTTTGATAATACCCAAATGGAGAATAGGATAACAATGTGAAGCTGCTCACTCAGTGAAGTGAGTAGAAGTTATGTGGAGTAAATCAACATTTTATATTGGAATTCTGTGCTTAGCAGTACATTTCTATATACTGTCAGGTTTTGGACATCGAAATAATTAAAACAATATTTTTTAAAAGTGTTGATGATATCTGACTGGTCGGGTAAAACAGATGCTATATGTGGAGTATTCTAAAGAAAACCATTCAGCAGAGGAATCAAAGCAAAGTAAAATGTCTTTGAAACGATTGCATTACAGAACCCACAGTCAGTCCATAAAAACAGCTCTCCTGCTCCCTCTACTGGGATCAAGCGACACTAGCCTGACCAGCCTGACTGACCCTGACCAGTGGAATATAGCGCTGTGGAAAAGACTGTAAACCTGACACGCATGGGTCTCAAAGAAGACGGATCCAAAGCAGCTTGCTTGCCCTTAGATTTTTTTCTTGATCATTTGCTTTTATAAATTCAGAAAGAATAATATTTGTGTTCTACACTAACTACTACTACTAATGGTAATAATAGTAATAATAACACAAGAATGTCGATAGTGATACAAAATAAAGACATTGCTTATTATGATTATTATAATTGTTATTGCGTCATAGCGTGCATTTACGGGGCAATGAGGATTGGCGGTGACTAACATATATCCATGGAGACTTCATTATAAAAATACACAGTGCGGTCACCGCCGACACACGCAGAGAGTGCACCTCCTCAGCTGATGCACAACTGCATTGTGGGTAGTGTGTTTTTAAATGGTCACGTATCTGGTTTTAGCACAGTGCATCCAACTACAAGTCCCACAATGCCGCACGAGTGAATCGTAAACAGAGACCTGTCAAACAACACAAACGCCATCTTGACATCAGCCTCAAAATGGCAGAAAGATGAGAGACAGAAGCAGAGCCCTGAGCAGGAGCCCGGCTGTCGGCTGTCCGCGTCCTAACGCGTGTGTCCGTGTGTGATCGGGCGGTTATGGGCTTGATGTCCAGCTCTGGGGCACTTTGTGTGTAAAATGGATATAACCACGGCGGTTTACAACGCTGCCAGAGATGGTAAGCTAAAACTTATCCAGAAGTTGCTGAGCAACAAAAGTCCAGAGGAACTGGAATCTTTGGCCGAAGAGAAGACCCAGGGCGGGACCCCGCTGCTGATCGCCTCTCGGTACGGGCACTTGGAGGTGGTAGACTACCTCATAGCGCACTGTAAAGCCAATGTCGAACTCGGTGGCTCTGTTAATTTTGACGGGGAAACTATTGAAGGAGCTCCTCCGCTGTGGGCGGCTTCTGCAGCGGGTCACCTTCCTGTGGTGAAAACGCTGCTAAAACACGGGGCTTCTGTCAATAACGCCACTTTAACCAACTCCACGCCGCTGAGAGCCGCCTGCTTCGATGGGCACCTGGAAATTGTCCGCTATTTGGTGGAGCACAGAGCCGACATGGAGGTGGCTAACAGGCATGGCCACACCTGCCTCATGATCTCCTGCTACAAGGGCCACAAGGAGATCGCCAAGTTCCTCTTGGACAAAGGTGCAGACGTGAACCGCAAGAGCGTAAAAGGAAACACGGCCCTCCATGACTGCGCAGAGTCAGGGAGTCTAGATATTATGAAAATGCTCCTCAAGTGTAACGCTCGAATGGAGAGGGATGGCTACGGGATGACCCCGCTCCTGGCTGCCAGTGTCACAGGTCACACCAACATTGTGGAGTATTTGGCTCATCAGCCTCGGACCTCCAGAGAGGAACGTATAGATGCTCTCGAACTACTTGGTGCTACGTTTGTTGACAAGAAGCGTGATCTACTGGGGGCTATGAAATACTGGAGGAGAGCCATGGAGCTGAGGCAGCCAGGTGATAAAGCTTCTTCTCTTGCCAAACCCCCTCCTGGACCCCCGATATCTGCCTACAGCTGTGCTCAAGAAGTAAACACTGCAGAAGAGTTGGAGGCTCTCATCACAGACCCTGATGAAATGAGGATGCAAGCTTTATTAGTCAGAGAGCGCATTCTGGGCCCTTCACACCCAGACACTTCCTACTACATTCGTTACAGAGGGGCAGTGTATGCAGACTCGGGTAATTTTGAACGCTGCATCAGTTTGTGGAAGTATGCTCTGGACATGCAGCAGAGCAACTTGGACCCTCTCAGTCCCATGACCGCCTCCAGCTTTCTATCTTTTGCAGAACTCTTCTCTTTTGTGCTTCAGGACCGAGCTAAAGGCACTTTGTCCACAAGGGTCACCTTTCATGACCTGATGACAGTCCTTGGGAAAAGTGTCAGAGAAGTAGAAAGAGCGATTGCACAAACAGACAACCCCCCCGAGGCACCTCAGTTCACCAAGGCCCTGTCCATCATTCTGCATCTCATCTTTTTGCTGGAAAAACTGGAGTGCACACCAGAACAGGAGCACCAGAAAAAGCACACTGTGTACCGCTTGCTGAAGCTCAACCCCAGAGGACGCAGCGGCTTCACGCCCTTGCACATGGCTGTGGACAAAGACACCACCTCCGTGGGCCGGTACCCTGTGGGTCGCTTCCCGTCTCAGACTGTGGCCTCCCTGCTGCTGGAGTGTGGTGCTGATGTGGATTCCCGGGACTGTGAAAACAACACGCCTCTGCACATAGCAGCTGCAAATGGTTGTCCAGAGATCATGGCTCAGCTCATGAAAGCAGGGGCCCACTTTGATGCCACAAACGCCCAAAGGAAGACGGCCTATGAACTGTTAGATGAGCAGAGCAGTGGCCATCCAGCACTTTACCCTCTGAACTATGTGACCCTGCAGTGCCTGGCGGCGCGGGCTGTGGAGCGGCACAGGCTGCCATACAGAGGACTCATCTCTGAAGAGATGGAGGCGTTCATCGAGCTGCACTGACGTGGCTCTGCTCCAACTCTGTGCCTGCACTTTTCACAGTAACAAACCAGAGCGTTGCAATAAAGTTCTTGTTCTGAGCTCAACTGTGTGACTAACTCATAACTGCCCAGTTATTGCTTTAGAAAGTCACTGTCTGTAGGGCTCTTACTTAATGCTTTGGGCAAGTGACTGTGAGTCACAAGAGTAGGACTGGTCTGATAATGAGCATGAACATTAACACATCTTCAAGAACTAAATATGCTGAAAGATTTTTTTATTGTGTTGTTTGCGCTGAAATTGTAATGAATGAGCTAACGTGCCAAAATTAGACCACAAGGCTTGAACTTAACAGATAATTATTTTCAATGGGGATTTGAAGAGTTTGAACTGTGGATGTTGCCCATTGTGTTTTTCTATTACTGCCTGTGGTATCTGCACAGAACAAAGCACCACTGCTCACTGCAGCCCTTCTATGCAGTTTGATAATCCAATCAGAGGTAACACTAAAACCCATCTGACAAACTGCCTGCAGCAGGATTATTGTTCAGTTCAGATGCTTTCCCAGCATTACCACCCTCTCAAATGGAGTGATCCTTTTAGTATAAATTGGTTTACAAGATACATTTCTGACATCTATTTTTCTGAGTTTGAGTTTGAATGTGCCTACAGCTGCACTGCATTGGCCAGATTTGTGTTTACCCTTACATTTACTTCACTTTTGTTAGGGGACATGCATTGGTCACGATTGGTTGTGCTTCTTCATACAGTAATTCCCTGAGGTCCATCTGAATGTATTTGGTTCATCTGTCATTGTTGGTCTTATGTTATCACTATGTCTTGTCCAGTATCCAAACTTTACATTGGATGACAAACTGATGATGCCTTTCTAACTCAACTGGCTTAAACGGATAACTCGAGTGTATCTGAGATACATGAATAAAATTCAGTATCCCAAGAGTGTGTTGACAATTATTGTTGAATGGATTGGAAAGTGTATTCCTTGGTTTAATGAGTAATGAGGACTGCTGTTATAGTGCACAACATTTATACTTTTTAATATGGAAAACAAAAGTCCTCAAAATGTATGGAAACCCATGAGAGAAATAGTTTGAATCTGGTTGTCAGAATCTATGGTGTTGTAGAACATGACAATGTTGTTTTGCCTGCTAGAGAAAGACTTTAATATTAGACTTTTACATATGGCCTTTTTATTATTTGTTTATAGTGTCATTATTTTTGCTAAACTGCTATTGCAGTAGCTCATGCCTGGGCTTCCCTCTGCTCACTTCAGCAGAAGGATGCCAAAATAAAACATAAGAGAAACATGATCTTTCCAAGTTCTGAACTTCTAAAGTATAAATAGCGTGCAATTAACGTCACTGCTGCAGGGCAGTGGTAGACTCTGCACTTACTCTGCTAAATTTAGGGATCTTTTGCCCTACCTTCAATTCTGAAAATGCGAAAACTGTAATCTAATCTAGTTAGGCACTGGGTACGCAGCTAAGACTGGGGAAAGAAGAAGAATTATGTAATGCTTATTATAGGTAGAAATCTACCATGATTACTTAACTCAGCCTCAGGCCTATTCTTACTCCATAATAATTTTCAACATGACATTTTTAATCATCAATCATATTAACCCTTACATACACCACACATTGACCTACCAGAGGTGAAGCCCTTAAGCGTTTATATTATATCAACAAAGGATAGGGCATTTATCGAGGCAAAAGGCCAAAGGACTGGCATTATAGTCACTTAAGTCAGACAAAAGATGTGTTCTCAGCAAGCGAGCTGTTCTGTGTGCATCCACTAGATGGCAGTATAAACAAAGGAAGTCTCAGTGCAAAACCTTTGTTCCTAAAAGACAAATTCTAATGTGTTTTCTTTTCAGCATTTCTGATGTTTACACTCAGATCAACGGGCTCAAACAAGTTAGATGTGTCAACTTAACTAAAATGATAATTGATGAAGTCTCATAGTGTTTTGTGATTAAAATGTGTGGCCAGAGCACAGCATGAACCCATCCTCCTAAAGCGCTGCACCATCACTCCACAACCTCACAGCCCTGTTCTGTTAGTACGCGTCTACCACAATGAGTGACCCAGATAACACGAGGCCAACAAAAAATACTGTCTAATGTCTTGTAACCATACAGCAAATGTTCACATAATATATATGAAGCATTATAAAGCGAATTAGTTTTTCTACTTTAAAAGCCGATACAAATCTCTTTTAGTAAATGTATAAAACAAACGCCAACCAAAACCATATTATTCCCCAAGACTAGTCCTTCATGCATTCATTCATTTGATTTAATATTGCAGTCGACCTTGGTTGGAGCGTTTGTTATGAGACATGTCATGTGCTGGCCTTCACAGTGGCATCTACATGAAGAATGGGAAATCTAAGATGAAAAAAATCGTTATAAATTGGCAAAATATAGCAGGGCATCAAGCATATATTTACGTTTCAATGAGACACATTAAAATCCTTGTGTATCACTCCTCTTGCTGTTGTCCTGCTATAACAGGCCATACAACACCCACTGACTACAAGTATTATTCAGTCCTGAACTCCTGAGCAGATATGGGGATATGTAATTCTGTATTCCTGCCAACAGCTATATTTAGACGCTATATTATGGGAATCTACTTGGTTTCAAGGTGCTTATCTTTCCCTGTTTGCCCCATGGCTGCTCAGAGTGTGGTGTGGAGAGCTAAAAACCAAGGCAAGAAGTGCAGTAAACCTGAGCGGTAAGTCTGAAAAGGGGAGGTTTGGTTGGGGGGGGTGTGTCATAGGGGCAATGAAGGGGTGATGGGGATACGGTTGCTATTGGAGATCAGTGCCTGCATCACGTCATGGCAACTGGGAAGGGGGAGGAGCAAAGGAGGAGAGGAGGGCGGAAAGGAAAGGAAGGCAGGGTATCAATGACATCAACTGGCTCGATGTGAGGCCGACCGTGCGGGGATGAGCTCCTGACCGAAGCCCCCGAAACAGGAGCAGCTCAAGCCTACAGCACTTTCCAAATGCAACGGTAAACAAAAAAAAAAAAAAAAGGTGGGGAGCCCAGAGTTGACGCTGCTGTGTAGATGCGGTCTCCAGCGCACAAAGGCAGACACGTTTTCACCGAGGGAGACCCTGCCTGGATTACATACCGCTTTCCGATGAAGACTCTCTCTGTCGCAAATCCACCCACATGCATCTAGCAGACAGGGACAGACGCGCCGGAGCACTTCATACCAGGTAACGCACATTTTATATTCGTATAAACTTCAAAAGGCGCGCACCCCACCCCGCGCTCTGCACCTGTCGTTACCTTGGAAGGAATTGCTGAGCCAAATACGCGGGGTACCCTTCTGAGATAGATGCAACTGTCGTGACTTTGTGGAGACGTTTTTTTCCCCGATTAATAATTTCTACAGCTGCGGCTTTTTTAAATGTATTTTTTGCATGTTGGGGCATCGTGCTGGTCTGTAAGTCTTTAGAGTGTCTTCACCGTGGCTGTATGAGGGGATACCTATAGTTGGACACGCTGTTGTGGAGCCTTTGTTCATTATACAGTCGCTGCAAGTGGCTGCTGCTGGTGGCAAAATGAAAGCTTTATGCCACTGGACTTGCTCGGATTGAACTGGAAAGTAAGACGATGCATGACACGTTTTTATGCAAATCCTGCTGTAACCTTTGTTTACATACGTGCACACACAGCGTTTGAATATGTGATTGGATGATGAGAGAAGTAGACAATGGTTGTTGAAAGCACAGGTGCAAAGCGCGTAAACTTTTTTTTTTTGGACACAATAGATGGCTTCTGCATCTGGTGCTGTTTACAATCCCATCTGCACACATGGCGTTCTGTTCTGCATCAGATAGACGTCTCATACGTGGGTAATTACCACAGCGAGACTCGATAATAATGGGTTCACTCATGCATAGGCTTTACTGAGCCCATGTGCATTTTAACATCCATTCACTGTGACTATTCAGGGGGCTCAGATGGCCAAATACAGTTGAGGCTCTTCATTCTGTCCACAGAGCACATTCTATATACACTAGTGAGTAGTCAATAATGGTTGATTCTTATATAGTCGTTTTTTTATTATACAGTGAGACCGTGCTATAAATGCAAATTATATATTACATCCACAATGGTAATGTATTGTTTTATATACCAGGATTAAAATGTGACCCCACGCATTTTCCTGACATTGTGCAATCCTATTGGGAATTGTGGTTTCAAGTTTCAATTTCAAGCATGTGCTATCCACTTTTCTCAATCCCCCACTCGAAAATCACTCATGCACAGACTACCTTAAATAGCATTTTGACAGAGTTCAAATACAGGCCTCTGAGCTCCCCATGCTTAGTGTGAATATGGCTGACAACGTTTTTTCCCAGTGGCTTTAGAATCATGATGAAGTTCTTATGTGCACTATTTTTCATATCATAGCATGAACCCCACATAAAGTCTTTTTCAAAGGTTTGGTCTTGATTTCTGTGTAAGTGTACCAGTCAAAGGGGGCGAAAACGTGCTGATTTAACTGAGGTGTACTAGCAGACAGGGTTTTTGTTGTTCTTGAAATGTGTACTAATTTACCTTTTCAAAACCATACAGACAATAAGCTTTTGTCTGGTCTGAGCGTCTAAGGGCTGTTTATACAAAGAAAGTGGAGGCAGCGAAACACATAAATGCAAAATTAAATCCTTGAGGCTCTTGGCAATTTTGTCCAAACACAAAATAAACATAGAACAATTAGTTATGCTTAGAAATGGCCTGAGTTCAGTTTTTTAAAAAGTCCATTAATTTCTCCAGAGGCCTCTTTCAATCGAAATTGTTTACATAGCAGCAATATCCACGTAAAGTACATTTTCTTTTTCATGCTTTCTGTGGATTTGGCATTTCACTTTAAATGATCACGTGTCGTTCATTCTTTGACAAATTATAGTCATTGAAATTCAAAGATATCATTCTACTAAAATCATTCTCAAAATAATCCCTATACCAGGGTTGTGGGTTCAAA